CAGTGAAGCAACGTCCTCCACAACTAGACTGAAGAACAAAAGGACAGCAACTTGTCTGTTCCCCTTCCCCCAATTCCCCAGTGCTGTTCCTATCCCCCAATTCCCCAATAAAAATCTTAAAAAAAAAACACAAAAACTGAAGTCGGTCAAACTCCAGAGCCTGGGGACGCCTGTCACTGAGTCACCTTATAGATAGAATATCTCCATAAGGGGGTTCTTTCAGTACCTCAGGAATTCCTCATTTGAGCTCTAAACAGGAAAAACAATTTTAAACAAACTTGTAAATAATAGGATACCTTTTTCATCTCCATGCTTGAAAGTATTAAAACTGCCCAGTAAGGTGGAGGGGAAATGAACCCCAGCCCGTGCCACGCCTCGGCAGCATGTGGGACACTCCCACTGCCATACCCGGCACGTCGGGCAGGAGGCCCACCAGCTGGCGTAGGCACAGCCCACGCACGGCCCCCGTCAGGACCAGTGGCTGCTTCCCGGGAGGGCACAGGGCTTACCACTTCATAGCCTTTGGTGCCATTGGAGGTTTTTATTTTGTACATATATTTCCACCCTAAGCAGTGAACAACCGTGTGAACCTGATGAGTAATAGGAAATAAACAGCAGTCGGCCACAACGAGCAGGGCCCCCCTGCACCCCCAATCCCAGAAGGTCTGAAGGACCGTCAGGAAGGGAGCTTATGTTCAGAGGACCAGCAGGGGCGCCTGGACCAGAGGCTGTCCCCACTCAGCTGTCACTTCTCCGAGAGGCTAGGAGGACTGGGCTGCATCTGCCTTCTGTAGGGGTGACCATGACCTGAGGGACGGAGGGAGGCCGGGGCATGGGAGCCCGGCCGGAATGGCGAAGAGCGTCGGCCTGGAGGGCCGAGCACCAGGCACCCTGGCAGGCCAGCCAGGGGGTGCCAAGAAGGCCCCGTGCCCGCCTCCGGAGGGAAACAGCTCGGTCCCAGAGAGACAAGCAGAGGCAGATTCCTAATTCTTGATCACAGAATTTACCATTTTGAAAACAACAATTTTAGTGAATGTCAAGTATGAATCTTTCCTTTAAAACTGTCATAGTCTTTATTTAAATCACTTAATATTGGCTGCCACCTGGCCCCTAACCATTAAACATTGCAATTTAAACTAGGTTTTAATGGTTAGCTATACTTCCTCAGCCTCTTGATCAAATTTTCAACTAAATTTGTCTTACATTTCTACCATTTCAAAAATTCATTTTCTTCACATCTAGCAGCAAAATGTCCTAATGTTCTGACATTGCTGGAAAGCTCCCAGAAAACCCCTCCACAGCTGCTCTCACTGGCGATCAGCTCCGTCCGCTCACTGTGCTGGATGGAGGCTTCCCAGTGGCCCCTTGGAGCGCACAGCGGAGTGGGTCAGGTCTGTCCTCTAAGGCTGTGTCACCTGCAGGACGATTTCAAAGGCAGAGACGTGCCCACACGCCCTGCTGCGGTCACTTACTTCCATTCCAAACGAGACTGTGTTATCTCTATATCCAAATATAAATTTAGGGGACGTGGATTTAAACCGACACCCACTGTATCTGAAGAATACAGAATGTAGAAGTGACCACTCGCTGATCAACAGCGCTTTCTAAACTGCACGTGCAGAGCAGAGACATCTCCATTCCATTTTAAAAGACAGCTTTCATTCCTAATTCCTCAACTAAACGGAGGAAGAAACGACATTTCCTGAGCTGCCAGAAGCTTCGCACATCAGTCAGGTAACTCACAAATCTTCGCAGTGCCCGTCCCACGTCCCCGTCTGCCAGTGGGACATGTCCACCTGGACGCGGCAGGTCACCTTCCAGCCTCCCACCGCGGGGACGCCACCACTCACCTCACTTCTTCCCCTGGCCTCCCGCCCGTCACCCCAACACCTTCCCTTGCACTGATGCCCTGGCTCGCTCTGGCCCTCTCTCTGCTGTCCCCGAAGGCCCCCTGCTATACTGGGACCGGCTATGCGGCTTGACCAGCCACTCCCTTCCCGGACGCCAAGCGCTGGCGGGTGTGCGGCGGCCCCTCCTCCGTGCCCCATCTTCTGCCTTCACTTCGAGCAGAGCCACCATCTGGACAGGCCCTGGTCCTGCTGTGCTCTGACACCACCTCACCTCAGGCCCACGTCCCGGTCCCCTCGCCTGCGCTCTCCCAGTCAACCGCCAGGGCCCAGGCAGTGATACAGTGTGATGGGGCAGAAGTAATAAAGATGGGGTGTGGGACCGAGCACAGGAAGGGGCCTCTCTCAAAGGGACACCTGCTGCTCAGCCACGGAGGCCAGCTCAGCGTGGCACCTCCTCCTCTGCCTCCCAGGACAGGCCAGAGCCCACCTTCGTGGAGAAGCGCATCATCTGGGCTTTTAAAAAAACGATTTGGACCAAATTGAATGTGGCGGGCAAGTGTGGCCTGTCAGTTACTGGTGTGCGTCATTCAAAGCCACCAGCCTCCCAAACTGCTAAAGCAAACACGCCAAGCTCTAACTGCACCCGCTGTCCTCGGGCTGCCAGGGGACCCATCTTCCCTGGCCACCACCTTCCCAAGGGAGGGGCGGAGGGAGGAGAAGAGGGAGGGAAAGAGGACACTTTTTTTATGTATCTCTAACCAACACCTTTTTAAACCACCACTGTGATACTGTGTTTATAATAAAAAACATGTATTTGGTCACCCCCTCTAGAGCCCCAGTGGCCTCCTCAGAAGACAGCCCATCCTCGTCCTGTCACTACACAGGCCTCCGTGACAAGGCCCCTTCCAAATCTTCCCTAGCACGCACGCACGCACGTACGTCCAAGTTCAGGTCACACTGACTTTCTTTTCTTAGAACATGGGAAGTCATGCCTCCTCCTGGGTCTCCAGTTGCTCTTCCTGTCGCCTGGCACACTCTGCCCTCCGCGCTGCCATGGCGTCCTCCTCACTCAGCCCTGTAAGTCACCTCGTTCCCGAGGCCCTCGCTGACGAACGCTCTGAAAGAGCCTTCTTCCCCCAGCTGCTATCAGCTGTCCCGTGGGCCCCGTGTCTGTCTGTCACTGTCGTCCTCCCCACCAGAACCAGCAGCGGGGCACCTGTCTTTCTTTTTTCCCATCTGTCTGCCGTGCCCACAAATGTGCAGGCAGAGGCTAGCACCTCACCCAGCTCCTTTCTGTGTTAAGCTGAAGAACATCTGCTAAAACCTGCAAGGTCCACTCTGCACCAACGCGCTCCAATCATTAACCTAAACTGAGAGGAAGGCGTTTCCGATGAATGATTCATGTTGTCACTTATCTATGTGAAGTTCACTCATCATAAGCAAATGAGGAGCCACTGGCAAGGTTCACTCCTGTTTGCCGCCGCTGCTCATTTTCAACTAAGCAAGATGGGGACCCGTTTTTTAAAGGAGAACACGCGTCTCCAGGACCCTGGCCCTCCCCCGTGGTGTCAGGTCTTCACCTCAAAGCATGCGGTCACCCTCTTTCACGACAGAATTTATGACACTGAGATGCGTGCACGGGCACACACACATGACTCAAACAAGTTCTCAAGACAAGCAGATACTGCTTGTCAAAAGCTAATTGTTTCAAAGACACAGAAAATGGATAAACGATGCTGAAACAGAGTGTAAGATCCAATTCCAAAATCCCTATTTAAATTTTTGTCTTTAAGGGGTGACTTACGTGTGCGACATTTGACGGCCGGTTGATCTGCTGAATGTCAGCACTGTTGGTGATATTTCGCAAGGTCCGCACAGCCGGACTCCAGGGCGCTATCACCTCAGGCCGCTCCGAGCTCTGGAGGTGCGGTCCCGCCGCCATGAGGGTGCCGCGGCCAGCGGGCGGCAGGGTGCTCCCAGGCACCGGTGGCACGTTGGCACACAGGTTAATGAGGCCGGGCGCCTTCCCCGGGGCCAGCCTGCGTTTGGCTGCCGCCACCTGGGGGACCTCGGCTGGGGTCCAGTTCAGGTTCCTCTCTTGCTTTTCAGGGGACGAATCTGAAGAATCGTCAAACATCAGTTCCCCTTTAGCTTTCTCGGTGTTGGACTTGGGTGAGAACTGCTGGTCACCTGCAGGGGAGCCTTCCCGAGAGCTGGCGGGGCTCGACTTTTCATCTGTACTCCCCTCATTTGGGGACTCTGGTTCCTCGTTTTCCACCTCCTCCTCCTCCTCTTCCTCCTCCTCCTCCTCGTCCTCCTCTTCATAAATAATCAGGCGAGGGTGATAAAAGGCTTCGTCTTTCCTGGTTTTCTCAGATATGCAATCCAGGACCCAGTCAGGGGTCACGATTTTAATACTCGCTCTCTTTAAAGCACATTCATATTTCTCCTAAGAGTAAAGCACAAACACACACAAACAGAGCTGTAAGGTTTATCAAATTCCCTAGAATTATGCATTAAAAAGAAAGAACTTCAGTCTAAATGTTCAGCGCCTGTTATTGACATTTCCTACTTGGCAAAAGCTTACACCCCTTCAGAGGACATGCCCCAAATGAACCATGTATCAATGACCACAGGACTGTCTCATGCCTGCCACAGTAGCCTTAAAAGACTTTGTTTAAAATTAACTTTTATAAATGAAACTTAGACACAGAGTAGAGCTGCGAGTCCCATGGAACATTCTCTTAGGAAGAAACTGAGTAACTGCCATCTAGTCCACCTCTTACGGCATAACGCTGTGATTGGGGGCAGGGCACCTGCAGGACATTGGGGCTGACTTTCCACGGGCACGCCCCCTCACCCACTGTCTGGTGTTTACTGAGCTCATGCTACCTGAGACACAGAGGCCACCACGAGTCTCGGACGCTATGAGGCCACAGCTTACTGTGAAGAGGAGATGCGATGAGAATACTCTCTAAAACCAAGCTGAATGACATGGGAACAGGATCAGAAAAGGGGTGTCAGTAGGCATGGCAGCACTCAGGGGGAGCCCCAGTGAGGGGCAAGGCCTGGTTGGGGCAGGAGAGACAATTTACAAAGGCAGAGGGAGAAAATCCAGCAGCTGGAAAAGGCGCCAGGGGACGGGCAGGAGTGCCGAGTGGAGGGCTCTCCCCTGGTGAGAGCGCACGACAGCATGAACGCCCGAGGAAAAAAGAAATATGTGGGAAATTTTAAACGAGAGTGACACAATAAAGTAGCTTTGAAACAAAAGAGTTCGTAAAGATGGCTCAGGTAACTAACAGAATCTCACCATGTGCTTCGAAAACCAAGAATACCAGTAACTGTCCGGCAAGCTAGCTGCGTAAACGAAAGGGTTTCTTCTCAGTCACAAAGCGATGCTGACATAGAAAGCCCACCACCACTTAACCCTAGCACACAACTTAGCTCTTAAATACTTACACAAAATCTAATTTTTTACTTAAATAGATTTTAAGACTCCCATCTTAAATTGCCACAGAAAAAGCCTCTTTTTGGATTGTGTGGCTGACTACGTGACACCCAGACTCACTTGGCTCAAAATCATTTTGTTGTGACACTAGCCAGTAAACAGCACACTCTCTGCACCTCAGCTCGGTCTCAGAGATTCTAGAAAAGGAGGCCTGTGGGCAGGCGGCTGCAGCCCGCACGCCGCCCCCTACCCAGCCCTACCAGGCCACACGCTCCTCTCCTCCCGGGAGTCGGGCCACTCAGGACACACTGTGACGACTGTGGGTGTGGACTGAAGGCCGGAAGAGCAAATGGGAGCCCTGGCTGACTGCGGTGGGACTGACGGCTCCCTCTCCTACTACAAATACACGGCACTGAGTGTCACTGTTTAAGGACCGCTCACGGGGCAGGAGGGGTGGTCTCCGTGGAAGCAGCCCTCCAGCGTCAGCGTGCCTCAGGGTCCCGCAGGGCCCCGTCCTCACCGGGCTCCCACTTAGGCAGACACTGTGCATTTCTCACACGTCCCGGGGAGGCTGATGCTGCCGGCCTGGGGACCCCTCTTGAGACCCCAAACCCCTTCGGCCCATCAGTTTAGATGACAGCCCTGTGCTTATCAAGATAAATGTGGCTTTACATATCCTATATTATTAAGAAGGAAATTATACTGAAAAGTCACTAAATGCATGTTTACAATTATAGTTGGTACAAGGCCTTTTAAAACATTATGAAGAGGACTGAAAATAAGAATTTTCAGAAAATATGAACTGAAGTTTTACTGAATCTGAAAGGAAACTCCAGAGATTCAAAAAACCTTCCCATTTTCTCCATGAAATTAACCCATATTTCTTCATATTTAGAAGCCACATCTGGCTCAAAATAAAAGTTGTAATCATCTCACATCCTCTGTGAAATGAAGCTCAGTATAAATAATATCAACTAATATAATCAGCTTTTATGAATGGAATCTAATAATCAATGTAAAAGAGGCTCAAAAAAGACACGGTTACTGCCAGCACTTGGTCGACACGTGAGAGGAGGCGGACGGACGCGCTTACCCCCTTGGGCTCCGGGACGACCAGGTGCGTGCACTTCTTGTTGAGGCTGAGCTGGCAGTCGCCCCCGTAGAAGGTGAGCAGGGCCCACAGGGCACTTCTGTCTTCAGAGGACACCTGACCGAAAGCAGACACCAGCTCTTAGCACACACGTCAATCTGTGCATGTTTGCTTATTATTAAAATACACTCTACATCGGAACAGCTTTTCTTTACCTGCTTCTCTCCCTTACAAAATGAAATTAACCTAAGGGTATTAGTGGGGAGATGGACAAGCTCTTAGCTATTTGCTTATTGCAGTAAAAAGTTTCATTCCTATCATAATAGTTTTACAGATACCATTTTTTTTTTGCCTTATTACCAAATGAATAACAAAAAACCCCACAAACTTATATCCACACTCCAGAGACTGAATGGAGGACTTCATTCTGTCACAAAAATATCAGGAAAAAAGCAGAAAGAACTAGTACACACTCCATCTTCCAATTGTGTCATTTTTTAAAAGGTTTTAGTACAACAGCAGCATCAAAATCATATCTAAGAAACTCCTTAAGCATTAACGGATGACAAATAAATACTCATTATGAAATGAATAAAATAAAGATACTGTGGTAAGCTCAGAGGAAAACGTAAATATTATTTAATACACCAAAACAAGACACAGCAAGTGTAAGAGAGAATCCTCACGCTTGCCTAAGGATGAAGGGAGGACTCCAGGTAATAATGGCGAATGCTGTGACACAGCTGTGACTGTAACCACAAAAACAGCTGCCATTTGCTGCCTGCCTACTATGTGCCAGGGACTGTGCCAGGACTTGGTATCGCCCCCCCCCCATCGTCACCACCGCCGCAGGAAGCAGGAACCGTGACCCCCATTTTATACATACAGAAACAAACTCACAGAACATTACAGCTAATGAGCGGAAAAGCGGCTTGTAAAACCCAGGTCTGGCTAAACCCAGCTCTGGCCCCACACTGTATCTCCCCACTGTTCTATACTGCTTCTCTGAGGGCAGTTACTACCAAAAATTATTTCTAGAAAATAAAATTTTAGAATCTGAAAGACAAACTTTTAAGAAAAATAAAGGCATCAGTGTTAATTCTAAGGTAACCATTTAACCAAGTCAACTTTTTTCTGGATAATTTATTATAAATTGAGGATTATGGTTAAGAATTCTGAATTGTGTCTCAAGTTAATCTTTTTTAAGTATTGATAAGTAGCATGTTTTTTTCTTTTTAATTGCCATTATTCAGCTTGCCAAAAATCTAACATTCTACATCTACTCTCAGCCATTTTTACAAGTAAGTATGGAAATTATTTTGCATCCCACACTACTCTGAATACTAACAAGAACACATGAATTTTCTAAAACCACCTTTAAAAATCATTTTAGAGCTCTAATTTAGTAAGTCAATGTCACATTTCAGAAGACTGAATCAAAAGATTATTTTTATTACAGGCTTTCACAAAAACATTTATATCCTCAGCATCTCAGAGGTGAGATTTAATTATATGATAATACAGATTATTCAAATGAATCATTATATAATGTTTATTGGAAATGAAATTAAACCACAGACTCTAGATGTGCCATTATTACAAAGATCTGGCCACAAGTCAGTCAGGTATCACTTTTAGGTCACTGACTGCAGGAATTCTAGCCCTACCCCCACCCGCCCAGGTCACAGGCCTGGGTCTCCACAGGCTGCAGTGTGTTGCTGTGGGAAGAACATCAGACGGGGAGGCTGAGAGGCCTGGGGCTGACACGGGGTCCCCAGAGCCCAGCCATGTCAGCTTGCCAAGCCTCCACGAACCAGACCCTCATCGACGGGCATTTGGGTTAGATGACTTCAAACACCCACACCAGCTCATGGACTGAATCTGTGTCAGTGTAAACTAAGAATGCTCTTTCCACACCAAAATGTTAACACTAGTTACCTAGTGGTAATAGGATTATGGGGACTTTTTTTTATTAATTTTTTATACTTTTCTGTATTTTCCAAATTCTCAAGAGCATTATTTTATAACTGGGGAAAGTATTTATCTTTTTTTTAAAGCCATCTTTCTAAATTCAAATCATTCACCTAATAAAGCTTGGCTGTCTCCTCAGTGCCTTAAGGCTAAAATCCCAAACTGTGAAAGTGGTGTCCCCGGAGGCCCTTCCGGGTGGATGTCTGGCTGCGGACAGCCTCTCCCTCGCTTAGCACCACTCCCACGTGACTAAGTGACCCTCGGCCCGCTATGCTATGCCTGTCTCTGTGCCTTACCCACCTCCCACCACTGCACCCTCTCGGCGCTGGGCGTCACTGCCTCTGCACCCCATGGCAGGCTGCTCCAGGGAACCTTCCTAAGAGCAGCAGGGGACTGTAGTCCCAACTGCGTCCCCCTGAATGGACACCCACTTACTCCAGTCAGGAACAGGGCCCTCCCCTCTCCCTAGGTCCACACTCCCGATACGCGCTCCTGGGTCCCGGATCCGTGAACTTCTCCTTGCCCCGTCCTCATTACCAACTAGAACCCTACCTATGAAAGGCTCCGGCCTCTGGAAGAATTACATCCTAAACGCCTCTCAGGTCTTTCCTGGTACCTATGCCTAGTACAGCGCAAGGCACATGCGCAGGCGGTCAGAACTATTTGTTGATTGCGATACACAATGGAAACGGCTTTTCTTTCTATTCTTCCAGGATTAAACTGCGACCCCGACCAGGCTGTCTCTCCTTCAGTCTTGACCTGCTTCCGGGAACCTACCAAGCACATGACAAGAGGCCTCGGCCACATCAGTACCGGATCACAAGCAGGCGGCTGGTGTCTGTCCTTCCCAACTTCTGCTGGCACAAGCGCCCTCCCCTACCTCTCCCTGGGGCCCTGGAAGACTCCAACCAAGAGCTCCAGCTCGTATCAACACCCTGATGGGAAAAGACAAAAGGTCACTGAGAGCCACCAGCAAACATCCTGCGCACAGGCAGCGTCCTGCCTGGCGTGCCGAGCCCGTCTCCACGCGGTGCAGGTCCCCCACTGTCACTCCCACACCTGGCACCCGCTGTGCTCTCCCACATGTTACCGCACGGTGTCCTTGCCCCACATCTGTCACCCTCCTAGACTGCACGTTTACTGAGGGCAAAATGGTGCCCTAGTTTGTGTGTGCCCCTTGGCACTGTTCCTGTCACAAAGGACACGCTCATCAGGCATGAGCCAGAGTCCCTTAGCTGCACACTGCACGTACTCGTATGTGTTACTCTCTGAAAACTGAGTTAACGTTTCTCAGCAACCAGAGTAGCTGTGTCCCAGTGTCCTTTCCTGCACATGAGTCACTATCGAGTAAAGCCTTTCCCGTCCTTCTGAACTGAAATGCGTGGCTCTTTATTATCTTACCCCACTGCACACGGACTTTCCATTCCCCGCCAGTGCAGAACTGTGGGAATAAGAGCCGTGAGTGATCCGTAAAGGTCATACTCATTCTGGATTCTGACTATTACCGAGTGAATTTGCTAAATGGGTGTAAAATCCTGTCCGAAGTCTTGCTAACTTCACCTTTTCGCCCAAACACAGCCATGCCCCAGGATAGGCCTGGCACTGGGGTAAGCCCCACCAGCTGGGCGCTTCCCAGGCCACATGGCCGGTGACACATGTTCACCTGACAACGCAGGCGACTATGTCCCCACCACAGCTTCCTCAGTGCTTCCCACAGACGGATGCCCAGCTCCCCGCCCTCTGCAGACCACGCTTGCATCTTCTCAGCCCCCCGAGCCTGAGACCTACTTGGCCACCTAAGCCTGTGCGACAGGCACCGAGCAGATGGCTAGCCCTGTGTCACCCTCCACCATCCTTGGCCACAGGACGACGACCTGCTACGAATTTATGTTAATGCTCTATGCCTTTCCCAGGGCGCTGCACTTCCAGCAATAAACACAAACTGCTGTTTCCTAAAACCCATCTTCCCCCTCCAGGACCATCTCTATTTATTGTCGCAAATCTCCTGAACTGTCACATACCCCAGGCTGTTCCTGGTGAGCGGCTATGTCTACTCCCATCCCCACGAGTCAGTACTGCTCAGCCCTTTACCCACGTCTCCAGGTCCCCACATGTGAGCAGCTCATCAACGCCCCAAATGCCACATTTCAAACCAACTCCCCATCTCCCCTCAGAAACCAGACTCCCGTCTCCACCTCCAGCAAGGATGCTACTGCCACTGACCAGCGCTCTTAATTGAACAAGAAAATCACTTTTGACTGACGATGTCAGTGTGACAGCGTCCACCACAGGGTCTGGCTCACAGAGGAAGGAGCAGTGAGCCCTGGCTGTCCTCGGCACCACAGCGTTCCCAACTCACCCAGACCGGGGGGCGCCGCCTGTCTCCAGGGTCTATGTGTGTCTTCATTCACAGCGCTAAGTCCAAACCTTCATCAAGGCTAAGACAGCAGTGGTCCCTCCTGGGGACCCAGCCCCATCCTGCCCTGTATGTCGCCTACAACTCCCAGACCACTGTCACCTACAAGATCACAGTGATGTCAATTCTGTCTGCGAGTTTCTGTGTTTTCCAAATGTTCTGGTAAACATTTGTAGTCCAAAATTAAATACATAAGAAGCATGCTGCTGGCTACCATATCGAGTCCAAACTCAGACACCTAAGTTCCAGTTTTCTGTGTCCTCTGCCATCTGCTCAGCCAGCCATCCTTTCCGTCCACAGCCAAACCGGTGCTCAAGCTCCGGGACCGGTGTCCTCACAACCAGCTCCCAGCTCTCCTTCCGGCTGCTCTGTCCCGCCCGCCCCTCCCCATTTTCACTCCAATCCTGCCCTTCTCTCCGGCCCACTGACTCTGAAATCCTCCATCGAGGCCGCCTAACCTCGCAGCTCACACCGACACCACCTTTCTGAGCTCAGACGCTAATACCTGTGCCACCTGATTCAGCACAACGCCGTGGGTATGTGCACACTCTAACCTTGTACGTTATGCATATTATCTAACAGTCGATTGACTGTCACAACCTTTGTTAAAGGGACACTGCAGGCGGCTATGTCATCCGCCACAACTTTACCTATTAGCTTTCTCTCTCCAAGACTAAAAGTGTCCCTTAGTGTTCATAGTTAATCTTCAATGTCTAATTACCTAATTGAAAACCTTGTAATCAACTTAAGCTCACACACTTGTGATTTGCCTATTTATTTCCCCGAGTCAGATCTGCTAACTACCATGCTCTGTGACCCTGATCCCTGAAACAGCCACAGCCCCCCTCCTGTGGCCCTTCCTGCAGCCCTTTCTCATTCAATCTGAACCCTCTGCATAGTGGGCTCTGAAGCTCTGAACCCACAAATCCAATCAATACAAATAAATTAAATGCAAAATTCACATTTTAGTCAAAGTACATTGTGTTTATGCATACTGAGTAATATGAATAAGATGTTTTCATTTTAAAATTTTTCTGAGGTTTATTGTAAATTTGGAACAAACAGAGAAGTATAAGGAAAACAAAAATTACATGTAGCCACAGTAACCATCAAAGGTTTTCATTTTAGATAACTTTCAAAATCATCATGTAAATATACATTGATAGCACAGACGTGGAAAACATTGAAAAAACCAAAACCAACAAAATCCTGTTCTTAGAAGGGAAAAAAAGGCAATTTTTCAAGGCTCTCTATTAAGTTGATGTAGCAAAAACACAAAGCGAGGATTTAATCATCTTCAACGACTTCCAGAATTTACAAGAGACAAACAAAAACCACAGTAACCATAATTAAACTTACTTATTGCTTAGACAGAGATCAAATTCAGGCTGGCGATAGCATTTGTGTTAAGAGCTACATCTGGCCAATACCCTAACCATGTGAAACTAAGTATGAGCTGGGTCTACAATCCTCTAATGAAAAGGCATAAATAAAAGCAAGACTATACTATAATCAAATTCCTTTTCATCTTCCTAATATGCCTGACATGCCCTTTTCCTCAAAGATTTCCAGAGATGGGGACTAAGTACTTTCTCAAAAACAGCATCTTAGGAGCGCCAACATTCCGGAGTGGGACCGGGCCTATGAGATCAAATAAAATGGTAGTGGCTCTAAGTTGCACTGTTTCCTGTCCAATGACCATGAATTTTAAACAAATTATTCTGTGTAATTTTCAAATGAGTTTAAACAATCCCAATTTGATTTTTTATTATTGCTCTTTATATCTGGAGGGTTTTAGCTGGGGGCTGAGAGGACGAAATAAAACATTAACTATTCATCATTCTCATTAGTTACCCAGAGTAACCACTGTTAACAGTCACCCCCCCCCCCTTTCAGGAAGTACTTATGTATTTTATTTGGTTGACGTAATATTGCGCATACCTATGTTATATCCTGCTTTTTTCCACTTAGAACATTTCCCATGTCTTTAAATATGTTCATAAAACATAATTCAGAAATGGTTACGTAGCTACTGGGTGGTGAACAGGGTGGGTTTCTGAACCATCCCAGAACGGTGGGTGATCTGGTCATTCCCGATTTTACGGTCCTATAAATAATGATTTGCAGAACACATTTATGCACCGATCTGCCCTTATTTTTCTCAGTCTGGGGTAAGTTTCCAAACCTAAGAGAAGTGCGGGGGAAACGGTGCGCACTTCAGGGCTGGTGGCTCGTCTGGAGGCGCAGGCACCGCCATGCGGCACGTACGCACACACCACTGCCAACCCACCAAGCAGGATTCTCATCTCACTGCTATTAACAGGTTCCCGATTCTAAAGTGTATAAAATGCTTTATTATCTGTAGTGCTCTATAGAAAGTTATAAATTCCCTTTTCTGCCTTATCTACTGGGGTCTTCTGTTTTCATATTGATCTGTCCAAGCCCTTTATTTATTAAGAAATTCTTTGCCTTTATTTCTGGCTGAATTTTCCCTGTCATCTTATCATTTCATTCACATTACTTTTCCATGTTCAAGTTTTAAATTTTGGCAATTCTTTAAATCAGAAAGACCATTTTTACCCATTAAAACTAAGCATGAATATTTAATTATATGTGTCATAAGGCCATACTAAATATGCAGCTTAGTAAATAGCTTCTCTAAAACAGATTTATAAATAGATCATAAATCCAATCGTATAGAAACTCAGCACTGTTATGTGTAAATAACGTAAGAGCGGTTGTCACCATGCTTACCTGAGAGAGGCAGGCAGTGATTCCAAAAAATATCTGGCACGATTCTGGAGAAAAGCCATTGACTCTGTTTTGTAGTTATTAAGATTCCAATGAAGATGAGTGCAGCCTGTATTTCACTAACACACATATCCTCCCTGCCACCCAATCCATTTTGGAAAGAAACAGACTGAAGCTGATCAAAGAAGAGTGCAGGCAGGCTGGGGAAAAGGTGATGGCACAGAAAGAGCTGAGGTTTTCTGTGAAGTACATTTTCAAAGCCAATCTCTCTGCTATGTCATCAATAAAGTGGGCATAATATATCACAGGGGGGCCAGCCTAGTGGCGTGTGGGTTAGGAACTGTCTTGGGACACCAGTTCTAAGCAGCAGGGCCCCGGTTCAGATCCCACATGGGCCAGTGACACTGCCCTCTACAGCTAAGATGGTGAACAACAGCTCCACCTGGAGCTGGGCTGCCGAGAGTTGCTGGCAACAGCGTAGGCTGCAGTGGGGCTGCAGTGGGCGGCCGTAAGCTACCGCGAGTGGCCAGCAGCCGGCGTGAGCTGCCATGAGCAGCCATCCAGAGGCCGGCAACTGATCTGCCTCACCCGGGAAGAGTGCAATGATAAAATACCAACATGGGCCAGTGAAGCAACGTCCTCTACAACTAGACTGAAGAACAAAAGGACAGCAACTTGTCTGTTCCCTTTCCCTGATTCCTCAATGCTGTTCCCTCCTCCAATTCCCAAATAAAAAATATTTTTAAAAAAATCAATCTATCAATCAACCAATCACAGGGAAACCCTTGACTGCCGAGAGCTAACTACACACCCACGTACAAACACAGGTGCACGTATGTGTACATACACAGCACAGCAATTTTCCTAAAAGCGAGTTGTAAGTCTTTGGGGTGTTTCAGCACAAAGGTGAGTGAGGCCTTCCGCTGTGGGGGGGAGGAAGGCGTGTCACCCCCAAGATCCTTCCCAAGTCTAAAGCTCTGGTCTGTAAGATCTGAGAGCTCATGTGTGCTGGACACGGGACACACAGCCACACATGCACACGCGACCTCTCGGGGCTTTCCTTAGAGCCTACTCAGGGTCAACAATGACTTTTGGAAAAATTTGGAGTGTCTAGAATTCAAAATGAGTCCAACTATTGCTTCTCTTTCCCTACAGGAGAAAAGTACACCTACTGAGGTAGGTGCGTTAAGGACAAACAGGTCAGATCAGAAATGCTACCGCACCTCGGAAGTGTTCTACTGGCCAGGCCTGCTGAGACGGGCTGAGGACACCAGCCTGCCCAGCTGCAGGAGGCGGGGCAGGCCACCTCACGCCCGCAGCCCACATCCACGCTGCCGCCTCAGCTCAGGGACCCTCCACTTCCAACGGCCTGGGAAACAAAGGCAGCCCCAGAGTCCGTGGTCCACCAGGAGTCTCGGGTGTCCTCTCTCTGTCCCTTTAAACTTCTATGGGATGGGCAAGGAAGCGCCCAAAGCAGACAGCTTAAGGGACTCCTGTGTGGAGGGCGCATGGCCGAGAGCAGAAGAGCTGGCCACACGCCTTCAGCACTCCCCCTCCCACTCCCCGGCCTCTTCACCTGTGTTTGTAAAGAAAACAAACTCCCCAAATCACAAAACAGGGACCAATCTCTTTACACTGTGGGTGAGAAATCTGAGTTTTTGGGGCGGAGTTGCCAGAGTCCTGCGCATCCCCCAACAGCTGCTCACAGGAGCGCCTGTCTGTGTACTCCAGGCCCCTGTAAATATTTAATACAAGGTCACTTCGGTCTCCATCGAGCCAGTGAGGGATGGAAGCTTTCGCCAGAGCGGCCCAGCATAGCTGCCCAACAAAATAACTCAGGACGGAGAACTCTGAAAATGTCCCATCTAACTAGACAGCACAAAAACAATCTGTTTCAGAGACAGGGAAACTGAGGCCCGGAGACACAGGCTGCCCGAGGTCACACAGCCAAGCTGTGGAAGAACTGGGACTCAGGCTCCGGGTCCCAGACCAGGGCCGTTCCCCAGGCCGGCCCCGTTTCCCACGGGTAATGACAACATCAGGTAAATAAAGCTGGACGGGATGGAAACCAGTAGGGACAGGGGTGTCACACACGATTCGTGCCCAGTACTGAATCCACTCCTCACCCAGTAACCACCATCTCCATCTTCGCTTGTCCCCCTACCCC